TATATATATATATATATATATATTCTCCCTAGGCCTACCAGTATATAGTTATTATAACTTACTTTTATCATGGAGATAATGGTTTCATCTATGTCTCTGTTCGCTTGATTAAACCATAATAGGGCCACTGAGGCCAGTTGGGACTTTTGACTAAGCTCATGCTAAGAGTATATATACACAGTAAAATTGCTGTCATTATATTCTTTAAAACACGTAGGCCTCCTGTAATAGTTCCAATGCAAACGGATTCATCCATGTAGTTGATTAACACATTTGGGTTGGTCATTTTGGTAATCACTATTTACGTAAAATTTATTGTCATCAGTGATATTTGATATTTTGTGTCCATTTTCTCAAAACATACAAATATATTTTGGGTCCCTTTTAAAAATCTCCCGCAGCAATAATAGTCTTACACATATGATCAGATAAACCATAGAGATTTTCTCTGGATAAACTAGACCATTCTATCCTTTTCTCTGCAGTGTATAAGCCTAATGTTTTTCATGCTGTAGAAGTTGACGCTGAGGTTTGAATTTGTTTCATGTTGACGTTAACTTTATTGTTAATAACAACAGGGGTTGGGTTCAATTTTTTTTTTGGGGGGGGGGCTTAAAATGTTTCCAAAAACCCCAAAAGAAGAGGGTTCGGGGCCATCCCCGGTGAAAGTTTAGTCCTAGGTGGCGGGAAATGACCTTTCCCGATTCTGAGGTGTCCTTTAATGACTTTTGTTTTTTTCAAAATTTAAGGTTTCCCCTTGAAAACCGTCAGGTGAATTTTACCGTTAACCGATAAGCGTGTTGAACGCACTTTCGTACAAAAATTATATTTACGACTTCGAACCAAAAACAGTGATTTTTTTATTTTATTTAATTAAAGGCTAGTTAGGCTAAGCCTTGTTTGTCCGGTCTACCAGCCTATGCCTTTTGTAGGCCAGGAGGTGGGGGAGGGGGAGGGAGGTGGTCCAAAATCCCTGGATGATGATGATGACATAATCAATATCGAAATATTGAATCCCGACACGATGGCGTGCATTTCGATACTTGGAGTATGTATTATACTATCTTATCAGAGTAAACGCTTCTCAAGTTCTACTGTTACTTTTAAAGTTAGATGCCTACCGTACATTTATTTTGTACTTTTACATTCCTAAAACAGTTTCCACTCAAATTGAAATTACTAAAATGTACATATCCCAACACTCCCTTAAATTCATGCATGTATACCATATCATCTAATTTTCCTATTGTAACAAAGACAAGAAGGTAGGTATGGGTCAGGACCCACAGACCCCTTAGATCCGCCAATGAGCAATAGTATCTTTACGGTACTTTTCTATTTACTGTGTCACTGGCATAACTTTACACTGTGTCACTGTTAGTAGGCCTACTACAGCTACAGCTGTTGCCTATACTGTTTATGTATTCTTACTGTTATACCGGACTTATACTTGTTTACCGGACGTTGGCGTTACCGTTCTAGTTGTTACTTAAATCACTATTATTTTGCAATATTTAAAAAATAAAACAGAAATTTAAAAAAAAATCCTTTATTATTTTCTATGATAATGTCATGAAAGTATGGTGTTACCATATAATTCTTCTAAATTTGTACAGGCGCCTGGGAGTTTATAATTAACACAAACTATTTGTCTTACTCAATTTAAATGAATCTTTATGTGGACAGATGCCACTTTGTCCATGGTAGATTCCCAGATTTTTTTTTTTTTGGAGATCCGTTGTACGTGTACCTTCACCTGGCTGTCTCCTGCGTGTTGCATTGCACGTGCGAAAAGACATTTAATAGGCGAGAAGAAATCTCAATAGTAGATTTTGATTTGTCTCGGTGTTTAGTTTTTGAAAGCGAAGAATAGGAGACGTATGCACGTAACAGCATGCGAGTTCTGAGTGTGGGAACGGTGAGGCACAAGTCTGAGAAACGTGTTGAAGCTCTATGATAAAGCATGGGAATCGGTTCTCTGAGAATGATAATGCTTGATCATAAGCTTATTAGTATAATTAGAGGCAATCATTGTGCAGTACGCTTTCATCAAGGCATTTTGACATTTGTAATAAAGCAGATTCGATGTGTGAAGTGGGGCTGACTGTTCCATTCTTTTGTGACGTTGTTATTGTCACTTATTGCCTAAAATTAATCATTCCTAGTCCTTCTGTTTGTTATTCTTTATATCAAAATAAATGTTTACTCATGATGGTACCGGATAAAACAAATATTTGCCTGCGAATATTTAAAAAAATGATGTATGCCAAAATGCCTACTTTATACAAGCTTTATATTTTCTGTGGAAACCTTTCATTTTGAACCTTGGTGACTTTTGTTCATTTATACTATTATTTATGATTTATAAGTTTTTTCAAAAGTCTCTGTATGTTTGAATGTTTTATGATTGAGAAATGAATAAACGTTACTTTACTTTAACGAAAGGACCTATGGATATGCACTTTCACTTTTTTGACAATAACGATTGTAAATTTTATTAATAAATATTACAAATTTCAGCCCTGCCCATTTTTTGTTTCAAAATACTGGGGTTCACTGTCTGTTGGTTAGACCTATGCCTATTGATTTTCTGGTAGCCTGCCTATTGCGTCTATTTTAAAATCTAATGAAAAGTAGGCATAAGTAAAACAAGTGTGTCATTGGTTTGATTTGATTGATTTTTTTTTATCGATCACTGTGTTCGCTCATTAGCATATGACAATGGCTCTACAACCCAGCCTCAGTTTTTATGATGCCAAAAAAATGTTTAGGCCTATATGATTATTTTACTTCAAGTAACGAGAATTTCGGAGGCATATTAAATCGGATATAAATTTGGAATTCCAATTAGGTGTTGATGAAAGGTGATTAACCTAATTATTTTCTAAACTTCTATTTTTTTAATTATCATAATTATCACCACCATCTTCATCATCATTATCATCATCTTCGCGAGTCATCGTTCATCACCGTCATCATCATTGTTATCATTATCATTATCATTAGTTTTTAGTTTTTACTAAAACTTTAAAATACAAGCAAGAGTTCCAAACCAATTGGAAAAAACAATCCATAGTCAATTTGACAGAAAGAGACCACAGCAGCATTTAGGTAGGCTTATACACTAGTATAGATGTTTAGGATCAGTGAAACCATGTGCTCATTAGACATTTCAAATTGATCTTCATACCTATTCTTTCTTCTCTTTTACTAAAAGCATGAAAGAAACAAACTAAGTAGCCTAACCTCTAAGATCCATTTCATTTAGCGATCAGTGCTGCAGAACATATTAAAAGGCATACACATCAATTGTGATTACTGTTAATTTGTATTGTTCCGATGCCATTGTTCCTCTCTAATCACCTTTTCATTCAAACTACACGTCCCGTGAGAAAAAAAAGGGTACATGATTATTTTTAGGGGTAATACAAACGATCGCGGACAAACTGTCATCCGTTTGTTTTTCACACGCTACAATGCCTGGGGTGTTACATGGCACATCACTCGTAGACCAGGTAATCCTCACTGATGAAGGGGTCAGAAACTAGAAGGTGAATTTTTCCCACGCCATGCATGGATTACCTTCGTTGAGAAAGGTATAGCCATTTGGGACTTTGCAACAGACGGCCTGAACAGAGTGTGGGCATCGATTACCAAACGACCCGATTCAACGCTTAGCTCGGATGTCGCAACGTGGTCCTTGTACTATTTCAGACAATCTTCAGATTCTTCTACCAACATCTAGCTTTAATTACATTGCTAGTTACTTAACCAACGACATTTTAGTAGGCTATTATGATTTAGATTATATGAGTCTATTTATACAAAACTTTTAATAAAAATGTTCACATTAGCAACTGAATAGTGAAGTGAATGAGAAAGCGATAAGTGACCGTTTTGTATACTTTCTGACGATGATTAGCATGTGAAAGAGCAGTACTCCCAAAGCGCAGCCAACCGTTCTGTTAGATTCTCACCACATGCTTGGGTTTTCTTGTGTTATGCAGATGAGTTAGGGAAGTCAAAATAAACTCAATTCCTTCACAGCCACTGAGCAACACAAAAGCTTTAACATTCAATCAAAGACGGCGAAGCAAGAGTGAGTGGGGCAGTATAGTCAGAATGAGATGGCCAGCGACAACAAAATGTTTACTTAATTATAGTTGGTAACGTCTCCAAGATGTGTTTTCTATTTTGAAATGGTTTAATTTAAAATTTCGTTTGATATCGGATTATTTTTGCCTATTTTATCTTTCATTAAGGACTATAACGGTAACTCCGTCGCTGGCAGTTTTCCGGAGTTGCCGTGAGCACCCTGATGATGTCAACAGCTCAGTTTGAATCTAGTCCTTCTCAACACATATTCGAAGAAGCAGTTCGGAATGGCGATACCATGACAGTGGTTAAGTTATTGCAGAGTTCTATGAACGGTCATGTAAACGTGAACACGTTTGATGCTGAGGGGCAAACAGCTTTGCACCAGAGCGTCATTAACGGAAACTTTGAAGCCGTCAAACTCTTGGTTCAATTTGGAGCAGATGTAAGGCTAGCGAATAAAGACGGATGGAACGCTGTACACATAGCAGCATGGGGCGGACATCAGGACATTGCATTATTTTTACTTACAAATGGAAAAATGCAAAAAGTTAAAACGAAACATCATAAAAAGGATGATACCTGAGGAAAAAGACGAAACATGTATATTTGTAGTGTAAACATAGTTGACATATAGACGCAAACTTGAAGAGATGGAATATTATTTCTCATTTGTTTAAATCATTATGAAATTGGTGCTGTAGATATCAAGAAAATACTCTTTAAGCGGTAAACAGTTTCCGTGAAATATGTTTATTATTAAGAGCTTTCCATGCATTTATTCAATATCCAAAGTGCCTTTTGTGTGGAGCCTTTAAATGAGTTTTCTGAAATTAACGTAATGGAGGTATGTTCACTGCCGAGTTTAGCGTTTTTCATCGGATGAGAGAGGTGCTAGACAGACGGAGGTTGCTTAGAGGAGGGAAAAAATACAGCGCAATATAAATAAACGAAAGTTAGAAGAATCAATCAACGGTTGCATGATGACACTCCAGTCAGTGCTAGGAACCTTTCCCATGCTTCTATTCGCCATTCACAATATGGATTAGAAGACCTTGTGTTTCTGCGTGTCTTGCATGACAAAGGCACAACTTGGAGGCAGTTCACATAGAATCCGATTAAATAAAACACAATTCTTATTTTAATTTGGTAACTTACGGTACTGTATTTGATCAACAGAATGTTACATATTGTTTTTCATATTGTACCCCAGACAGCATATATTATTTTAAGTATTATTAATTCGGATCTAATTTGCTTATTTCGGTGAGATTCTTTCAATTTATCATTTGAAAATGTTGTTAATCATTTTAGGCCCTATATAATCTGTCTCTTATACACATCTAGATGTGTATAAGAGACAGGACCACAGCAGCATTTAGGTAGGCTTATACACTAGTATAGATGTTTAGGATCAGTGAAACCATGTGCTCAAGGCCTATAATTTAGGCCTATTTGTAATAGGCCTATTATAAAATGATCTGTTCTATTCACTTTCCTCAAATAGGCTATATAATTATCCACTAAAAATGACAAAAGAAATAATAAAGATATGTTTTAGTAACATAAGAATTATCAACTTGAGCATAGAAATACCTACCAGATAAATATAGAAACACTCGCGGTAACTGGAAGAACAAATGTCTCTTTATTATTCTAGAGACTGAATATGCTAAAGACCATGGAAACCCCGATACCAAAAGTAGACTTTTGGGAGCTTTCGATTTTTTTATGCGACGACGCGACGCTAGAACGGAATCACTCATGCATGACCGTCCTACCTGGCGTCCTACGTTCCCTGCATACGTAGATTTGGCCAAATTGCGTTCCAGAATCTACTCGATGAGTGACCTTAACGTTCTCGCATGCGCAGATGACTTTTACTGACGTAATTACGTTCTACGTCCTACCGTCGTCGTGCAATCAAAGCTCCCTTTTAATTGGAGGGAGACCTGTATGCTTAACGATACCATCCCAAAACCAGTGTACTGTCGCTAAATGTTAAACTGAATAATTATCATCCGAATGTGGCAGTATTGTATACTTTAGTACAGATAAGCCATAGCACTTTTACTCCTCTAACTTTTGCAGGGTAGTAAGTCGATTGCAATAAATGACCTACTGTATCATTTTAAAGCTTATAATGGGGAGAATATGAGTATATTATCTTTAATGCTATGCACTAATGTCTGTGTTCAATTTGATAATTGTTATTATTGAAATTACTTTCAAACTTGACTTTTGCTATTTATGAGGTGACAATTGAAATTATGATTATTATGATTTTTCTAACTATAATTATTATTATTATTATGACCTATTTATATTGTTCTATATAAATATTATGGGATATTATCTGTTATTTTAAAATTATTATGGGATATTAAAATCATTATAGGTATATTAGGATATATACGGTATCCGAAATAACAGTACCTGTAGACCTAATAAGTTTATAGGTCGCTTTATTAATGTTGTTTATTTTTATAGGTATAAGCTGCTTTTAATGACGTCATTATTGACAAATTATCATTTCATATAATGATTTCAGTATTTATTATAATTTAGGTAACTAGTGTATCGCATTGCATGATGGTTAAATTGCTGCCGAGACAATCATAATAACTATACAACCAGAAAACAAGTGTTAAAGTTTTGTGATTCACAGTGTTTTTGCAAATAATTTAAATATAACTGTAATTAGGTACAATGATAGGACAGGGAGTAAATTACAGGTCTCCCTCTAATTAAAGACCCCTCCAATTAAAGACCACTTTTTATTATTGTTATTTTTAATTAGTGAAACCCCGGTCCCAAAAGTGGTCTTTAATTGGTGGGAGACCTGTACCTATTTATTCACTCCTTCCTAATTAATTAGACCTTTGGTCTTGTTTTTTAAAATGCTGCTATCAAAATCATAATGACCGGTGGTAAATAAATTGTACCAAACATTTATATAGGTAAGATTGAACTTTCCTATGACGTCACATAGCCTAAATCAGTGCTTATATAGATAAAGAACATATATTTATTCTGGAAGCGATGTAAACTTTCATTTTATGGTTGTTTTAATCTTAGAAATGGACATTACTTACGCTATGAGATTCTATACAAACAAACTACACCAATATTGGGGTACAAAAACCCCATCTCATATCAAACAACTATTATATGGGTTTACCACTTAAGTGCAGAGTTGATACAAAAGATCAACATGTAACTATAATGCAACATTAACGGCAATAATGTGTATTTTTTGTGAAGTAAAAACACTGATTACTAGAATTTTAAGGTGGTGATTAAAAAATGCATTGCTTCAGTGAATACGGAATACTTCTATTGAATGTCAACCAAAACTGATTTCGTTTTGCTGATTAGAAGACATTTCGATTGTTCAGAAATATTCTATTTTCGTTATTCTTTCAAGATTAATCAATTTGCTGCGATTCATTACCTCAATATGTATTTTTCGCATCACGTTTTATGATTTCGTACAACAAAAGAAGAGCAGCTTGAGTTAAGCCACAATAGCACCTAATTGCTCTAAGATCAACAATTTAAACACGAAATACACTGAATACTTTCTATTGTTATGTGAATACGATCAAATTATTCGGGAATTTTTGTTAACTTGTACTGTTCTTGCAGAGTCCCAGCCACTCTTAATAGCATGACTTAAAATGTAATAGCAGTTTTTAAAGTTACCGTATGTGATTAACTATTGTTATTTTTTTAATCCATACTTTCTACGCCTATGGTCAAATTTTATATTACGTATTTGTATAGTCGTTTACGATGATTTTGTTATCGAACAGTCCGATAACACTACTTTATAAAGTTTCGTCAATGCTGATTAGGTCTATTATATATTCACGATAACTTCGGCCTATATTCTGTGTTGGTACCAAAGAGATTATTTAACCTTTATAAATTAAAAATATACTTTCTGACTTTTGCTAACAACTTAAAATAAAATGAAAAATCGAATCGCTTACTTTGTGCATTTGTGTACGTTATTAGCTTTCAATTAATAATAAGAATGAAAAAAGAATTTTCATTGTAATTTAACGGTGCACTAGTCCTAATACTGAATTTATTTGCTTAGAATATAGGTCTAGATTATTTGCTGATAATCAATTTAAGGAACAACTGGATTATGTTTTCAGACCAGAATGGTCACGATTCGTGACACCGTCACAAAATGTTTAATGCACATACACTCCAGCTATAAATTTAAGACTGGCTCCGGAGCAAACAAATTATATGTTGTTTTTTCTGATTTTTATAGAACACCAAAAAGGAAAAAAAAATTCTGGAACGGTTAATGAGATACAGATTTTTGAATATTTAAAAACAGGGGTGGGGTAAGGTATATTATTATTCGTTAAATAAATTAAATTATATACAAATTAATAAAATACTAAAAGAGATTCGCAAAAAATGTGACTTATACACATCTAGATGTGTATAAGCATGCCTATATATATAGCATGATTTTTGGTTGTGATTCAAACTTTGTGCAGACACGATTCATAATCGCATTTATTTACAGGCATGCACTATTCTTATTTTTAATCAACTTAGTATTTTCAGTTTGTAAGTCAGCTTATATAATTACGGCTATATTTTACGTCTGCACGATAACAGATACAAATTAGTGCATTTACGATCCTTTATATATCTCGCGGTACATTCACACATTATGGTTAAGTAGTGCTATAAAATTTCAATTTACTAGCCATATCGTTGGTGTAGATTTCAGCTTCAAAATACTCGATAAGTTCAACAAAAGTTTGCAGAAGCTTATAACAATGTATTCTAAATTAACTATTCTATATAGTGAATACACGAATGGTCTTTCCTGAAGGCTACCCCAAGGCTCAATAGATTTCTTTATAACTACCTGTTTTGCAATGTCTCATCGGGGAAATATTATTCTCTCCCGCCTTTTTTTATTTTTTTTATTCAAGGTTGTTGATTTTAATTGCGTGTGATTATTCTCCCGTGTAGTTTAAACGGAGGTATTGTATGTCAAGTATGACACCTTAGGTTTGTAACTGTAAGTGATGTCATTATACAAAATTATTACCTGTGCAGTGTTTTAATAATTACACTTTTTTTAAGAACACTGAGACTGAAATTGCTTAAAAATTAAGAATATAAGAACAAATTGAGGCTGAGATAAAATGTCTAATGAGATTTTTATATTTAAAAACTAAAAAAAAAAACCCCAAAAATTACTGTATATCTACTACCTTGTGTGCAGTAGGTATGTAATACCCTCTATAATGCAGGACAATAAGTGTACAGCCTGTCATTTTGGGCCATTCTTACCGGGGCAATTTTTCTGTGGCCATATTTTCAGGGGCCCTTGTTTCAGAGACCATTTTTTCCGGGGCCAATGTTTACCTACATTCCAGTACAGTGTAGGCTATACTGCTGTACAATAATAATTTTAAGTTTGAAAAGTGTGTATTTAAGAACAAAATAAGAACATTTTGAGTCTGAAATCGGTCAAAAAATAAGAACACTGAGCTAAATTTTACTGGTTCTTATAAAAAAAAAAAGTGTATAGACCTATATCCA